ACCGGATCCACAGCCGCCTCTCCGTGAGGAAACCGAGGCGCCTCCCACCGTGGTGCCAGACTGTCCTGCCTCCTCGGCGCCCTCGTCGGCCCCAGGCCCCTCGGCTCCCAGGGCCCCCGAGACCGAACCCATCGCTACCCCGGAGCCCCGACGCTCGACGCGCCCCAAGAAGCCACCCGCCTACTTGAAGGACTTCGTCTGTGGGTGCCTTCTGAACCAAGGGGGGAGGGGTGTTATGTATTCAGCCTGACATGCCCGGACTTGCCCGGGCTGGCCAGGCACAACTCTTCAATAGCTTCATGTCCAAAGACAATGGGTCCGTAGGATCCTAGCCGGCCCAATGAAAGGGCCAGCTTCTCAGCCGGGAGACCAATGGTCGCCCGGTTACTGTAAATAGCCTATCGGAAGTAGGGGGTGTGTTTAGGTGTACTTGGTGGCGGGTTTTCTGAACCTATATAACCAGCCTGCGAGCTGGTCCCTTCGTCTTTGTCCTGAACTAAATAAAGGTATGCTTAGCTGAAATCACTCTCCGTCTGCATACTTTTCAGTGCCTGACCCCGCTCTCCCATGCCGGAGATCTCAGGGGCTGAAGCTGCTACTGGCGCTCCTTCCAACAGAGGTCACCGCAAAGAGTCCAGAGAGGATTGGGGGGGGGGGCAGTGGCAGCAGGGATGCCGCTGTGGACAGGAATCGGAGGTGGAGGCTGACTCCTGGCCCAAAGCTGCAGAGCAGAGGAAAGGCAAAGACCCGCGACTCCACTGGTGTCTCACAGAGAGCGTGGAGGAGGAGGAGGCCTCCTCCAGTAGTCTTGACTGGCTTGGGCCTCCCAGGACGGCTACTCTGGAGTTCCTCCTTTGTCCATTGTACTCCTGGTCTCCCTTTCTGGCTGAGACGCCAAGCGGATTACAAAATTAGAATAAACAGTCGGATAAAGAGAACGGGCTAAGATAGGCTGCGAAGAATGCAGCCCTTGGATTACAGACATTCAAAACCAGTGCGGCACCAACAGGATCACACGTACAGCGAAGGGGCGCGAGAGAGAGCCTCCGTTGCCCACATGAAAGGGAGCCCTCCTGACCGATTCCATTCACGGCAGCCGCATTCCTTTGGCCAAAGGGCCCTCCTGAACATTCGGAAACAATGCCGTGCGAGCAAGCGTTCGTCCAGGACGTGCAGCGAGTGGCTGACCCGGCCGTCCCTTGACCACTTCCCCTTCCGACAGCCCTCGGCCCTTGATCGGCATGCCCTCCTGAGTAGTTCCCCCTGACGCATCCTCCAGAAGGACGGTGGTGCCCGGGCGGGGGAGGAGAGGAGCCAGATGTGCCTCCTCGGACCGACTGACCGGGCGGCCTCTCTCTCTCCCCGGCACAGGAAGGTAGGCTTGCCCGGGGCTCTGAAACTGCCAGGCCCACCTCCCCCTTCCACTCCCCGGCACTTCCCCTGTGCACCGCTGCTGAGCCTCCGCCCCAAATGCTTTCCAGATGTGCTGGCTTGGCCCTCGCTGCCGCCTCGGTGGGTGGGTCCGGCCCTTCCCGGGCTGCGAGGGAGCGCCGCTGCAGCAGGCCCGGCCGGTGGCCAAGGAGGCCGTAATGGCCCAGAGGAGCCGCGAGCTCGGCTTTGGCCTCCTCGTCCGGGGGGTGGTTCCGGGGTTCCCGGCTCCCAGCCCTGGGAAGCGCCTCCTGACTGACTCCGGCCTCTGTCTCTGGCCCGGCCAGCAGCCCAGGGGTTAAGATGGGGGGGCAGAGCAGGGCTGGGCCCGCCACTTCCTTTGGAGCTTTCGAAAGAGCCCTGGCGCCGTGGGACGGGTCTGGACAGTGCGCCAGAGAGCTGGCCGCTCTGCAGGACGAGAGCCAGGGGGACGGGCAGCCCAGGTGGGAAAGGAGGCCGGCGCGGCAGCCATGGCACCCTCCCGGTGAGTAGGCACAGCGCTCCTGGCACCTGGCTTCGAGGCTCCTCCAAGGAGAGGAGGGGAAGGAGGGCTCAGGCAGGCCACAGATGATCTAATCTAGAATCTTCACCCCTCCCTGCTGTGGGTTGGGAGCCTGGCTTCACCCTCCCCCCCTCCCCCCCATTCCATGGGCCGACAGTGTGCCAGGTGGTGCTGGCTGAACAGAGTGTTCTCGCTCCTTCGGGAAGGACAGCTGGGTGGTTCAATTGCACCCAGGGGTCATTGAGCCACGAAGGTGGACCCAACATCTGCCCAGCCCTTCTGCGCCAGGGCCTCCTGAAAGGCCAGGGGCACACGACGGCGGGGTGTGTGTGTCCTAGCAGAGGAAGCCGGCGACACAGGCGGGCCGTGGAGGGAAAGCAATGGAAGGGGGACCGAGTCGAGAGTTTAACGGGACCCTCCTCACCACAGGGTCCCAGACAGCGTCCCCGCCTCGTGTCACCCATATCTCTGTTGAGAACAAGCCTACCTTGAGACTCTGATTTCTTTAAATGCTAATAAACATAATGAGGATTCTGATGACATTGCCAGCGGTTTGGCCCCAACCGTGGCTCAGCCGCGGAGCATCTCCTTGGCAGGCAGAAGGTCACAGGGCCGGGCCCCAGCAGCATCTCCCGTTAAAAGGACCCGGTGGCAGGAGACGTGAAGGAGACCCTGGAGAGCCCCCGCCCGCCTGAGCAGACGACGCTGACCCGATAGACCAGCCAAGAGCACCTCCTGTCTTCCGCAGAGAATCCAAGGCTGGGGTCCGGCTGCACAGAGCGGAAAGGCGTCCCCCTCAGGCCTGGTCTACCCAGGCCGTGAAAGGAGGGGGTCGGATCCTGAGGTGGCAGAATGGGCTGTACCATTACAGACTGGAGGTGAGAGGAGTCATGTGGGGGGGGGAACCCCCTTACCACAAGACGTTAGCTCATCACAAACAATTATTCCAGCCCAGCTGGTTACCGACTGTGCGAGTTTTCCGCTCCCCGAGAATTAGTCATATGGGAAATGTTGAGACATCCAGTCTCTTGCCTGAAGTATGCAGTGGTACAGTCCACTCTGCCGTCGGAAGCGTTCGGCCCCCGCATTGCGCCACATGTCTGGGCCAAGCCGAGAAAGACAAGAACGCCTCCTTCTAAATTAGTGATCAGGAGTCATGGCCGGGGCTCAAGCTCAAAACACGCTGAAACGACAGGCGTCTGCTAACCCAAAGGCCCAGGACCGGGGTCGTTGCCTGTAACTTTACTCGCTTTTGCACAGATTACTGATGGTTTGGGTCCTGGACAAGTTTAGTTCTTCAAGACCTTGAGAGAGTTTTCGACATGATGGGAGGAATGGGCCGTGGACGGACACCGCCCTGAGCTCTTTGGAGGGAAGGCCGGATAAGGACGTGTGCGGTAGGCGGGTTGAGCCCCGTGTTAACCTTGCGTGATGCTCTCTTGGCATTGAGAGATGGACGTCTTTTAACAGAGACCGCTAAGCAGCACTTCTCTCTGACTCTCTTTGTGCCAAGCAAACAGGTTGTTCATGCAAAGTAGGAAACAAAAGAGGGGGCCTTTGAATGCTATACGGCAAACCCAAACTGGGTCTGCCGGCCTCTTTCCTTGGGGCAGGAGCTTAATGCGTGTTTCTGCCTGACTTATTTCCCCCTGAGTTTGATGGGGTTGAGAAGCGGTTTACTTCCTGCTTCCCTACAGCGTTGTGGTACATTCCTGCATCTCCCAGGTTTTTCCTGCTGCTCTCCAATCTTTCCCAAACTTGCTTTGCTCCAGAGTTTTGGGGAAACTCGCAACAAACCGTGGGTGGGTGCCGTGGGGTTGGGATTTTTTGGGTCCCTCCCAGACAACAAAGATTCCCCCCTCCGCAGCCATTTCCTCTCCCCACGGCAAGGGGTTTTTCTTTTCTTTTCTTTAAAAAATCCATGGTTTAATAGTGTTCTAGCAATATACCGTCATACTGAGATATGCATCAGGGTCTCCCAGCATTCTTTTCTTTTTCATAAATCTCTAACTCCTTTCCTTGTGTAGAAATGGGGGGGGCATATCCCCACAACAAAATGGGCTCGAGATTACTATTTTAAAAAAATGAAACCTGGGTACTCAGAGAATCTGATGCATATTTCGGTATAATGGCACACTGCAATAGCGCTACTAAACCGTTGATTGCTGAAGAGCTTCCAGGGAAAGTTGCTGCTGGGCTGCCTGAGCAGCTGCAGCAGCAACAGGGAAATTGCACAAGGCTGTCCCTGTGTGGGACACACCCTGCCAGCTCGCCCCACCCGTTTCATTCGGTGCACTCGGTATCAGCTCACTTGGCCTCCTCAGACCTGAGGATTTCTATCAGGCGTTCTTAAAAGTTCCCCATTCGAGGGAGGAAGCAGCCCGGCTGAGCCAAGCCACCTACAAGGGCCAGGTCGCTACAGGAGAGGCCCAGACAGAAGGCGAGGGGACCTCTGGCGGCAGCTCCCACTGCAAACCACGCCAGCGTGGCCACAGTGACCCGCAACTCACGCTGGGCCCTTTGCTCTCCTGAGCGCTGCCTTGCTTCCAGGCAGTCCCCAAACCTAAGATGGCAACAAGGAACCCCCTCGGAGAGGAATTAGCTCAGGAGCCCAATGAATCCAGCAACCCAGATGCCAACTCTGTCCCCGCCCCCTTCCCAGAACAGAACCCCAGCAGGGGCTCGTCCAGCACGATCATCTCTGCCACCCTTTGCCAACAGGGCAAACGGGCTGGTCTCTGTGCCGAAGGGTGAAGGGACCCCACCCCGACAGCGGCCGTGGCAGGGGTCCAGTTCTGTTTCCGGGGTCAGAAACTCCCTTTTCAGAAAGGGAGACTCCAGCATGAAACAGCTGGATTAGAGTTTATCCAGAAGCGTGACTGTATCCAGCCGGGCTTACAAAGCCTCAGACCTGACAGGTGTTCCGTTAACGCATCGAAACGGAGAGGGCTGCTCTTGCCCACCGGGTACGTCCTGGGCGGTCATTCTGCTTAGATATGGTTGCGTTTTGGGCAAACGAGTCTCTTGCCTTGCCTTGGCAGCCCTCTCTTCACCTCCCCCCCCCTTACGCCCAGTTGACTGAAGGTACTCTGTGTACCTGACGAAGTGGGACAGAGTGTTTGGTGAGGCTTGGATTCAAATCCTCACATGCTACAAAAAAATTGTCAGGTCTGTTAGGCATGAAGCCAAATGCTCTTCCAGACTCCCTGTGGGGGAACCCAAGCAAGAAGCAGTTCTAAGAGCCCCCCCCCCCCGGAGCTTCTCCTTGGGAGCACAGGATCAGAACAGAAATGATGAGCTTTACCCAGCAAGACGGGGAGGTGGGAAGGCTGGCCCCCGAGGTTGCCCGAGAGGTGCCAGTGCTTGGTGTGGTGGCAGCCCCACCAACCCGTGCTTCTGAGCCCCCCCCCACAAAGCCCACCTGCTCTCTCCCACCCCAACAGGGCCCTCCCTCCTCCGTGGCAGCGCTGGAGACACTGAAGGCGCCAGTCGATTGGCTCTCCCTGCAGGCTCCCAGTTCCCCATTAACTCTCCCGTGGGACGCAAGAGGAACTCCTCGTCTCCAGGGTTCGGAAGGAGCCGTGACCTTCGCCCACCTCCCGGCTGTTTACTCATTTACCTGCTGATCCGGGGCTCGTAAACACCCCCCCCACACACACACACACACCGGGAGGCAGCAGATAAAAGGGCTGCAGCGCCTGGGCAGCGCCTCTTGCTCCCGGATTCCCTCCGGACTTCCACGGCCATGGCCAAGGGCTTCTTCATCAGCAAGACTCTGGGCATCGTGGGCATTGCCCTGGGCGTGGCTGCCCTCGCCACCATCATTGCCCTCTCTGTCGTCTACGCTCAGCTGAAGCAGCAGACAGACAATCCTGCCCCTAGCCCCACGACGGCCAGCACCCCTGGCGCCAGCGCCCCTGGCAACACTGCGGGCACCCCCGGCACCAGCACCAGCGCCATTGGCAGCAGCGCCAACGCCCATGTCACCACGACCAGCACCACTGGCACCGGCACCCCTGGCCCCAACACCACGGCCGGGCCTGTGAACTCCTGGAACGAGCTGCGGCTGCCCAAGACCCTGAAGCCGGAGAACTACACCGTCTCCCTGCAGCCCTTCCTGACGCCCAACGCCCAGGGCCTCTACGTCTTCCAGGGCCACAGCTCCGTGCGCTTCGTGTGCCTGGAGGCCACCGACCTCATCCTCATCCACAGCAAGAAGCTGAACTACACGCTGCAGGGGGGCTTCCTCGTCTCCCTGACGGGGGTGGACGGGACCCCCGCCCCCTCCATCAGCGCCACCTGGCAGGAGTTGGCCACGGAATACCTGGTGGTCCAGCTCAGCAGTCAGCTGCAGGCCAACCAGTCCTACGAGCTCCACAGCAACTTCACCGGGGAGCTGGCCGACGACCTGGCTGGCTTCTACCGCAGCGAGTACCAGGAGGACGGGCAGACCAGGTAGGCGATGGCGGGGTGGGTCTCACTGGGGCGCTGTGGGGTGGCCCCCTCTGCCTTGGGAGGAACCTGGGGGGAGGGGAGCCGGGGGGGGGAAGAAACAGGAGGCCGCCCCCTCCCTGGCACTCCTTGCGGGCTGGCCATCCCCTCTCCCTTGGCACCAGGCCAGCAGCCCCACAGTCCGGGCACTCAGGGCGCCCCCAAGTGGTGCTTCGCAGGTAAAGCACCCCCCTAGGAAGAGGATACGCCTCCCCCTTCTCCCCCCAGGAGACAGGGCCCTTTTCTTGTGGCAGTGCGGGGTGTGTGTCCTTGACGGGGAGGACAGACTTGGAGCCACCGTCCGTGCCTGCTGCCAGCACCACCCTGGCCCAATGGCGGGCTGCGGCCCTGGCCCCCGGGCTGGTGGGGGAGGGATCTGCAGGCAGGCAGGCGGCTGATCGGCCCTGTCCTTTGCCAGGGTGGTGGCCACCACGCAGATGCAGGCGGCCGACGCGCGGAAGGCTTTCCCCTGCTTCGACGAGCCCGCCATGAAGGCCACCTTCACCGTGGTGCTGACCCACCCGCCCGACCACGTGGCGCTCTCCAACATGCCGGCACAGAGTAAGGCAGCCGCGGAGTGGGACCCTGCGTGGGGAACGGGAAGGTCGCCAGAAAGCAGCCGCTCCCCACTGTCCTGAAAGGCCGTGCCCAGGGTGCTCCTGGTGGAGCCAGTTTGGTGTGGTGGTTAGGAGCAGGGTCTCTGCTCTGGGAGAACCGGGCTTGATGCCCCACTCCTCCTCCTCCTCCTCATGCAGCTGCTGGGTGACCTTGGGCAAGCCATAGTCCTGTCAGAGCTGTTCCCTCACGAGCAGTCCTCGAAAGAGCTCTCTCAGCCCCACCGACCTCACAGGGTGTCTTGTTGTGGGGACAGGAACAGAAAGGAGACTGTAAGCTGCTCTGAGTGAAGGGTGGGGAATAAATCCAATCTCCTCCTCCTCTTCTTTCCACCCACATGGAGACTTGTGGACTTGGTGACCTTGGCCTCCGCACCCCCTCATCCTGCTTCTACACACACACACCCTCACTTTTGCTACATCTTTCCCAAACCTGGTTGAATGCTTTTTTTTTTTTTTTTTAAAGACCTTTGGACCCAGCCTGGATGGGGAGGGGCATATTTGGGTGGGTCCTCCCCATTTCCCACTGTTCTCCTCACATCAGTTGCCATTTCCTTCCCCCACCTGCAAGGGAGGGATTTTGCTTTTGAACCCCCAGGGGTGGTTGGGTTGCTAGAGCGCCAACACGATATAATGATCTGTTACCCTAAAGCACTACTAGGCTATTTGTTTTGGATGTCTGCAGCCCTTTCCATTGCAGAGTTATAAGGGGGAAAGTGCAGGCAGGACGCTTTTTCCTTATGACTCCACAATGGAAAAACTAGTAAATTTTGTTAAGGGGTCACACTGACATTTTAATGCCATAGCAATCTTAACAGTTCTTGGTTTGTTAAAGAGAGAAAGAAAGGGTAGTTGCCCAGGAGGAAGCTGAGGCAAGCCAAGTAGAGAGAGGCTGTGTAGAGACTCCATGGCCGCTGCCAGCGCCTCTCCATTTGCAGCAGCGATTACGGCTGTGGAAGTAGCCATGTGGAGATGGAGGGAAGATTGTGGGTGGGCAGCCAGCAAGAGGAGAAGGGATGCTTTCGGGAAGACGGGGTCCAAACTCGAATGCAGACATGACAGGAAGCAGGAAGAGCAGGCCGGCCCTTGGGGAGAACTTCCCACAGTTCCTGAGCTGCCCAGGGGATGGTGCAGAATCCTCAGCCCTCAAAGGCTGGTGCTGTGGAGCCCCAGCTGTGTGTGTGTGTGTGGGGGGGAATTGGTAGGCAAAAGGAGGTGGGCTTCTTTGCTTCTTAAGCCTGGCTGAGGGCAGCGGCCTGGGTCCAGCTCTCCCTTTCTGTTGCCATTTGAGGCGCCAAGAGTCATCGTCCTCCGCTGCTAAGGAGGAGCCCCGAGGCGGCAGCGTGGCCCAGGGGTGGAGGGGAGCTGGAGAGTGAGGCGCTTGTGTCTCTCCGTCTCCCTCAAGGTGTTGAGAACGTGACCCTCGGCAACAACGAGGTGTGGACCAGGACGACCTTTGAGCCCACCCTCAAGATGTCCACCTACCTGCTCGCTTTCATCGTGAGCCAGTTTGAGGCGGTGAACGCCGACCAGAACGGCACCTTGGTGGGTAGGAGAGGGAGTGGGACAGGGCGCCCCCCCGGTGGGCCTGGGAAGGGGGGCTTGGAGCACCCCCCAGCAGGGGGCCCCGTCCGGGCACCCAAAGCACGGCCCAGCCCCCCATAAGCCCTCCTGTTTTTGTCTTCCAGATCCAGATTTGGGGGCGGCCGAACGCCATCCGGGAGGGCCAGGGGGAGTACGCTCTCAACGTCACGGGGCCCATCCTCAGCTTCTTCGAGAGGCACTACAATACCGCCTACCCGCTGAGCAAGTCAGGTGGGTGAGGGGGCCGGGGCCGGGAGGGAGGCCCTTTGGCCCGGTTTCCCCTCATGCCTTCGGGCAGGGTAAGAAATCCTGAGGCGGGAACACCTCGGGTACCATTCAGTCTTGCTGGTTTGGGCACTTGTTATTTATTATTTATTTATTGTTTTCGATTTGTATCCCGCCTTGCCTGCACAAGCAGGCTCAAGGTGGCGTACAGCAAGTTAAAATACAGTAAAACACAGTGCATAAATACAGTACAATAAAAATCCCGCATAAAACAATATGCAAGTAAAATGCAGATCAGTAGAGATGGCGGTTGCTGTACCATGATCCGGTGTAACCAGGCCAGCATCCATAGATGTTGTCGGTGCTCATTCCTCATCGAAGGCCTGGCGGAAGAGCTCCATTTTACAGGCCCTGATGTCTTCTGGGAGCTAATTCCACCAGTGTGAAGCTGCCGCGGAGAAGGCCCTAGATCTGGTGACGGCCAGTCGGACGTGTTTCGGACCAGGGAGAGTCAGGCGATTTTGCAGCCCTGACCTCAGTGCTCTCTGGGGGACATACGGGGAAAGTGTTGGGGTTCTTTTTAAGTTAGTCAGCAGAGTATTAAGAGACTGAGTCCATGGTGTGTATTAAAATATAAAAGTTTACTATAAACCTAACATGGGAAAAAGGTACACAGGATATAAAATAACAAAGAGCTAGTATGTCTACATCCTTGCAGCTAAAAGGTAAAACGGGAAGAGCCGAAAATGGCGTCTCCTTCTCTAGTCAGAACAAATAATGGGAAGAGAAACGATAAAATGCTAATACTTGACACCTTGGTTTCCAATCAGAGTAGCAATCTACCTCCAAAGTTCCCGGGCATCCTATTGTCTAAACAGATTGGTTACAAACAAACATGTGACTTAACAAACATCATTAACCCTGAAAATACTGGCGTGTTTTTGACTTGTTACACCCAACAGAAAGGCAGTCCCTTAGGTAGGCAGGCCCCCAACCATGTAGGGCTGAAGGGATGCTTGGCCTCTCCGGGTTGGGATTTCCACGACCGGTGCGGGCATCAGATCTGAGTCTCCCGTGGCCGCCCCTGAGTGAAGGTGCCGCGTGGCTCTGTGAAGTGTGCCCGAGGAGTGAGCACCAGCCCTCTCCGGCAGGCCGCAGCACACGCTCAAGCCCCACAGTGCGGAGGGAGCTCTCTGTAGTCCGGCCGCTCAGAGCCGTTGGGTCCCATCCTGCCCGTGGGCTGTTGTCTCCTCCAGACCAGGTTGCCCTGCCGGATTTCAATGCGGGCGCCATGGAGAACTGGGGGCTGGTGACCTACAGGGAGAACTCCCTGCTCTTCGACCCGCTCTACTCCTCCATCGGCAACAAGGAGCGGGTGGTGACCGTCATCGCGCACGAACTTGCGCACCAGGTACGCTTCGCGCCTTGGCCCGGAGCCCTCGCGGGGCCCACTCGGAGGACAGGGCGTGTCCCCCTTTTGACCTGCCCGCTCCCCGCACAGAGTTGCTCTGCCCTGAGCCGGACTATCCCGCCATCTACCATTCCGACCGGTGGCCACAGCGGTCCAGGGCCTCCTCCGGCGGAGGTCTTTCACGTCACCCACCACCTGAGCCTTCCGGCTGGAGAGGGCGGGGACTGGACCTGGTGGGGCCTTCTGCACGCAAAACGGGTCTCCGCCACGGCCCCTCCCCGTGACCCTCTTTGAAGCGGCCCCTCCCACTCAAGGCAAGACGTTCGCCCCCATTGTCAACTGGCAGCTGGCCATCCCCTTGTGCCCCTTGTGTGGGCCATTTGGGGGTGGGGGTGGTTTTGTGGCCGACTGACCTCCTCCGTCTCCCCAGTGGTTTGGCAACCTGGTGACCCTCCGTTGGTGGAACGACCTGTGGCTGAACGAGGGCTTTGCCTCCTACGTGGAGTACTTGGGAGCCGACGCCGCGGAACCCGACTGGGATATTGTGAGTGGCCCCTGGGAGGCTCTGCAGGCCACACTGCACCCAGGATCCCTGGGAAGTGGCTCCCCGGGCGTTTCCTAGAGAGCCCTTCCCTCCTGGCAGGGCTCCTTTCTCACGGGAAGGAAAACACCAGCCCTGGGGACGCAGGGCAAACCAGGGCCCTCCTTCCCTTCTCCCCGTGGACCAGGGTTGTGGAGGTTGCTACAGGAAAAGGCTCCCCCGGGGCCTGGGCAGAGGTTCCCCCC